GAAGAGGAGAAGGCGATTGGTTTCTGGTCCGAATAGCATCCTCGAAAGCATGATAGTCATATATTTAGTCATTTATGAGAAAAAAGTAGGCGCGGTTGAAATGGTACATACCAGCTTTCTCCTATCAATTCATTTCCATGGGAAAAATCGGAAACGTATTAATTTAACCATTACCTTTATACAATGTTGATAAGAAACAGTAAAGATAATAAAAAAATATCGAATCGAAATTTAGACACATTAAAGAAAATTTTCTCTAAATCTGGAGACTGATCATAGATATTTTTATTAGAAACTATGACAACAACCCAATTTCTTCACCTTCCTACAATTTATGCGTAGTAGGCTTCTAAATGATTAAGCATCGATAGTAACGCGCAAGACTCATTTGTCTTCGCTCGTTGACGGAGGTTAATGTAAGATGGGTAAAAAGGATGGGTTAATATAAACTTTGATACCGAAGTACTACACATCATAAACCACATCAAACATGTGAGAAGCATGTTAAAGCTCGGCTCTGACAGTTCTTTCTCAGTGCGGTGATATAAATTATAGAGAACAATCGTTAAAAGGGAAAACACTTTGCTCTGCATTGTAGACCTCGATACTCCATTAGCAATCAATGGAATAATCCAGGTCATCTCGCTGATTGTGATATTCACCGCAAGGCAAGAGGCAGTGTAGACGATAGCGGAGTGGGGCTCCATTAACCCCATCCCAACAAGTGAAACCCATGAACCCAAAAAGTGATAATCACTCAGGAGTATCGCGCCATGACTCCCGCACGCCAGATTGCAAATCACCCGCAAAAGATTTAGCTTGGCATCAGGTAAAAGATGAATAAATTCTTGAGAAGCAAAAACGAGTACGGAAAGCAACTTAGAGTGAAATACAACGGTCGAGAGGACCATGTGGTGGAGTATTGAAACCCGAAGCGCGTTCAGGAGCGGACCCCAGAGCGCAGGCGGATTGCGTAAAAAAGCTTCCGTCAGCACATCGACAAATACCTGAACGGCGGCAATATCGACGGAATCAAACCCCAAAGAAAGTTCTATGGTCAAGCACGACAGCACGTTTCGCACAACCGGTTTGAGAAGCTTGGCGTCGATGAGCTGCTCGACGTACGGGCGAAGTCCGTCCAGGGTGGCTTTGCAGGTTTCCTCGTTATCGACGTGGAAGATGATGACGGCTTTGGGGGGCTGTCGAGGGATTCGGCAGTTCACCAGACAGCGAAGCAGCCTACAGAGCCCCGACTGCATGCCCATCACCCGCTGGAGCTGCTGATGGGAGGTCGAATACTGCGTGCAGCGGATGGCGACCGACATGGCCTCGTACAGCGCCGCTCCCCTTTCGCTCTGGAAAAAATCGTTGGTGGTGGAAAAGAGATACAAAGGCACTAAATCGGCCTTGCCAAGAAGAAACTCCGCCGCCTTGCTGGTGAAGTGATGGCAGTTGTGCCGCTTGATGTCGTAGTCGTGGATTTGATAGGTATCTTGCTCTTTCTCACGTACCCAACGGAGAAAGTCCGTGAAGCTCACGGTGGTGGATCCAAGACGAAGGGCCTGGTATTTCGTTCCGTTTCGTGTTTTCCCCGCCCCCGCGATCGCAATACCGCCTTCAAAGTAAAATTCCATGCCATAACACACAATAGCGGAGTGGTACGCGCCGGAAGTATCAATCCCGATGAGCTCAGGCCCGTATTTCGCTAATATCCCGTCAGTTAATTCGTAGATATGCGCGTAAACCGTAAAGCGGTAGGCCGAGGGCGGGTGTGTCTGTTGGGTGCGTACAAAAGTCGTGCGTTCGTGAACGAAATGAACGTGCGGGTTGTATGCGGATTGGGGTGCTTGAAATGGAAAAGAAGAGGACCTCGGTGCCGAGGAGCCCATCAACGACGCCGATTCCACCTGGTAATTATTCAAATGCAGTGTTTTTTCGTCGAGATTCGTCTTATTAACGGAGGGGCTATTGGGTTGTGTAGAAAGGGTCCCTTGGAGCTGAAAGGACTTAGCAGGATCAAATGACAGGGGGCCTAAGGAGGTACTTTGCACAAGAAGACGCAGGGAACTCCGTTGTGGTCGTAGAAGAGACAGGGGGATGGGGGACTCAGGGAGTGACAAGAGCACATTGCTTTCACTAAGATGCTCAGCGCAAGCGAAAGGGCCCTGAGATTCAGGACGCGCCGCGGCGGAGGGTTTTTCCACCTTGATGAAGTCTAGTTCCTTCCTTGATGTACGACTTTCACTAGAGCCCATCGTACACGAATGTAATATGTGATATTTCTATTAAAGGTGACTTTACTTCCCTGATCCCCTTTTTATTTCTGTCCTCTTAACTAAATACTATGAAGTTATAATCTTATATAATGTATATGTGTGTGATGGGAGCAAGACTCATAAAAAGGGAATTACAAGGCGTATGACGAGAGCGATTCACGTTCCAAGAGTTGGTAATGGATGAAAGTGTGAAACAGCACTTTTACGAATGTGGAGCTACTCATAATGAGATTACTAGGATATTAATACTAATATATATATATATATATATATTAACCAGTTTCATATGTGAAAAGTATTGTTGTAATAAAATAAGGAAGAGATGTAATAAAAGACATCATAATCCGTGTGATATATGTGTGTAAGAAATTAGCTTGAACTATATCCCTTCTCCCTGTAAAAAATGGGTTGTGATGCGGTATCACTTCGTCAAACGCTGGCTAGTAAAGTGTTGGGAGGATTCATGGATACCAAACCACAATTCTAAGCCCTTTGGTATGACAGTTGTGTTGGTTACGTAATCGAAAAAAGTATAAGCCGGTGTTATGTGCGCCTCCGCAGAGGGGAAGTTGGGTGGCCATAGATCCCGCTGCGACAAAGCGGTACCACTCACAACGAACTCAGGCCCAATCGCTTTATGGAAAATCGTCTTTCCGTTTAGATGGTCCAACTCATGCATCAAACATCGCGCGCGCATGCCGTCCAAGACCTCCTCCTTCTTATTTCCCACCATATCAAGGCCTGTGCACGTGATTCGCTGCGTGCGAACCACCCAGGCGTGGTTCAGTCCGCAGGAAACGCAGTTCTCCCACATGCCGTACATCGGCGCGATGGAATGCCGGTCGTCATACCCGGGGACTTGCGGATTCACCCACACATCAAACTCGGTCTCGTCGATGTTCCTTCGGATCACCACCACCGCCGCATCCCAGTGGATTTTTGGCGCCGAGAGGGAGAGGCATCGAAGGTTGGTGGCGACGCTGATCATGATGTTGAGGTTGGAGGTGAAAAGTGTACTGCTTATCTGGTCCGGCATGAGTCTAATAACAGGGCGGGTAAGAGAACGGTTGGGGTAGGACGCTATTTTGGAGAAAGCGACAGATTCGCGATTGATTTGATCATCTATCTTATCCTTAATCTTTTGCGTTTGCGTCGCATCGTTTTCGACAGAACTGAGAAGTAGTCTCGTTCGCCGCGCAAGGAAGAAGCGTGTAAATTTCATTTCTACGGTAAAGTCGTATTCCCTATTGGTATAATGTATCTATAATTATCCTAGACCTATGGACACATTTTCATATCAGCATTTAAAAATGAAGGAAAGAGATATGTACTTTATGAACTGATGGTCATGATTGTTAGGATGACACTATTGAATCATCAATCTTTTGTTAATGTTTTTATTTAGGGAGCAGGCAAGTACATAGGAGTCACCTTATCTCATACATTTCCAATTGAGGTAATTGTCCAACACGATGGATCGTCTTAACAAGGGCTCAACCCATCCATATCCGAGCCACAGGTAGAGTATGAAAAGGAATTACCAAACAAAAGAATACATGACCTTGACCAGGCATCCGTGGCACCCATATCACCGACAAAACCCCAGGGATAATGTATACAGCAAAAACAGCAAACTTTTCACTATCCTCTAAACCGCTGTAGATTCCAAAACTTTACAATCTCGCGCTCCTGACGATGCGGAGGTATTTATTTTCACACGAAAAGGATGACTAAGGCGCACACGAAGCCAAAAATAAAGACCACACAAGACTCCTTCATATCTTAAAGTAAACATCAACAAAGGAATTAAGAATTTACTTCACTATCCAAAGGTCAACTCATGTAATCTTATCCCTCCCCCCTTCCCTTCCCCCTCCCCCCGTAAAAGGAAGGGATAACTCCGACCCACAATCCGACTTTTAATCAAGATTTACTCCCATATTCATACTCCCCTTCCTTCCTTATAAGTCGTTCACCCAGCGTCGCACAACCTCTTCAGCCTTTTCCGGGGCATCCCGGTAGGCCGCGAAGGCCCTGTGGTAGATCAGCTTGATCGCCAGGGCGGGCTGTGCGTGCATTCGGTTCACAAGGCAGCTCGCGCAGACCTCGAGGAGGGGCTCGGCGGCGCGCCCGCGCTCCCCGGTGGGGTCGGCGAGCCGGAGGAGGCGTCGGGCGTGGGTGCCGATGTTCGCGGACCAGTCCACCACT